TCCAATCATCAAAACGCATCAAACAACGCTAAAACCATTAAATCATATCGGCTTCAAGCCTAAGTTTCTTCAAAACTTCCGAAATACGCATTTGATCAAAAACCCGACCAAACACCCCCGAATGACCTAAAATTTTGCACACACATCCAAAATCACCTAACGAAGCTACTGCAACTTTCGGAATCCCATTCCGACCCTCGGATCAAAATCTCACCCACCAACCGGAATTCGCCAAAATACTAACTTCGCCAATTCAAGCCTAATTCTACACCGGACCTCCAAAATCAATTCCGATCGCACTCCTACGTCACAAATCATCCCCCGAAGCTAACCAAATCACCGGAAACCACATCCGAGCCCTCTAACTCGTAAGTGAACATCCGGTTGACTTTTCCAAAACAAGCCTTCCTTAAAGAGACTAAGTACCTCATTTCTACCAAAACCAATCCGAATCAACTATAACACACCAAATACTGATAATGAAATATGAAGAAGCATAAAATGGGGAAAACGGAGCGGTAACTCATAAGGCGACGGGTCGGGTCGTCACAAGAAAGATAATTTCTCAAGTAGAGAGAGAATACCTTAGCGCATAATCAGTTGGTTATGTTTGAAACTTGGACCAAATTAAGCAATAGACCTTTCGCCAAATCATATATAATTAAAGATCATATAATAGAAATTGTTCCCTTGAATACCTTAAAATTGGAACACCAAAGGACAGCCAAAAATTTATAATTTTCGTACTTTATATTTCATAAGATAATTCTTATAGATATATGATGTCTATCACAATATGAATAGAAACAAACACAAGCTTACAAGTAATAACGCCAATTATGGACGTACCTTTCTAATACAATTAGGATAAACTTTGTAGGGTCAGTGTACGTGTAGTTTAAATATAAAAAAATTCCATCATTAGGTAATTTACAATTAGATCCTTAAATTCTACAAATAATTAAGGGCATAAAAGTCGATCAATATTTCGGGGATATTTTAGTCGTTCAACATTTAGCATAAATTATTCGTGCTTTTATAATAGTATAGATAGATAGATAGATACTAGTCTCTATGCTCGTGCGTTGCGCAAATACTTTATGTTGAATATAATACGTACATAAAAAAGAATAACTTTCAAATGCATAAATATTAGTAATTATAATGTTTTCACATAATCAAAGTCACAAAGTTATATATTAAAGTTGTACATCCAATCAAAGTATGCAACATATATAATAATTTTTTCTATGCAGTAACTTCTTTTGTTAACCTTAATGATTCAGGTATATGAATGTAATATATCAAGAAATACATTAATGACGGAGAGAAAAAGAAAGACAAAGTCTTCCATGGCATTACTTTTTGGGCAGATGCCCTATTAACATGTCTCTTTTTTTATTCTACAACATCATTTTATTATGGAGTATATGAGTATTCCATTTGAGACTCAACACCGATTCTTTTAAATACCCTTTTTCAATATTTAGAAATCTTATTTCTAATAAATTCTTAACCGCACAACTATTTGAAAAATATTTATTTGATTATAGAAAGGATATAATATTACATAAAAAACTACAGAAGTATACGTTATCGTGCCTGAAACGGTTCATTCAAATTTATAATCAAAAAGCATGAGAGAGTCGTCTTGTTATTTCAACAACTTGCACAAAGATATTAATATAAAAATATATAACTTCACTACTAATTAGTTTGCTTTACAATCACCTTATCTTATAAAGAGAAGTTTTTCTTCAGAATACATGTTTTTGCTAGATCACTTTAAAATAGTGAAAATTATACCTAATTATTTATGTTGAATAGAACGGGAAAATAACGTGGATAGAGTAAATTTGCGTGTATTAGGTTTACGGAATCTGAATTTCCTTCGTAATTCGACTTGAGCATCTTGGCTCATGTATAATAGGTTTTCTTCTGTCAGTGTTAGACTTGGTCTCAACAATTTATCATATTTGGATTTTATTAGGATTTTGAATTCTATAAATGATGTGATATTTGACTTGAGATATCCACGACTCACGAGTATAGAGGCACAAGTATTAAAAGTTCTAATATTTGCTGTACTTTGCTCTAAAGTAACTAAGTAAACCCTAGTTAGCAGTGAAACATTCTTTTCATATCTTTTTTTTTAAAAGAAAAATCCACCAATAATGATAACTAATATTTATTGATAGAGAAAATAAAGAGGGTATTTATTAATCTGTTTTGACCCCTATAAAATCTTCCTAATTACAGAGATCAATAACAATTACGATGATTATTATTTGATGGAATAGATGTGCATAAGAATGTAGGGATGCTTCGCGTACTCACTGCTACTTGGGTATTTCTTTAGAGCAAAGTGTAAGTTATACTGTATAGCAAAATATTAGAACTCTTATGACATGAGATAACCAAAAAAAAGAAAAAGTAAGAAACCTAAAAACTTCAATGCAAACCTCAAAGCTCCATAGTCAAAATTAAACACCATAGATTTTTATCATTCATCTACAATTCAAGCAATTAAATATTTGGGGTAGTAAATACTTGCCTTGGATCATAATAAAAGACGTGTTGGAGCTGGAGATTGACAGCTTTTCATGCAAATACATGACACAATAAATTTCAGAAATTGACATTGTATAGGGTCAAATTTGACCGTCAACGTCTCTACGCCAATGGGTACGCCCAGTGAGTATACGTCAACTAACGTAAGAGTACGACTTGGACGTGGGGACAAAAGCGACATCGTTTAAGACTCATTGTCTTCACTAGGAAAACATTACCTATTTTTGTATCTTTTTGATTATTTCGAGGGAGGTCTCCTACTATATAAGGGAGACCTTCACATTGTAAAGGGCGAGGATGACTATTCTTGAAGAATACAACTCTCTCATTTTCTCCTACTCTCTCTCTATCTATATCTAACGAATACTTTCTCTTGAGTTCATATTATCATTTTACACTATTAGATCTACAACAACTTCATTTTTCATCTGTAGGTCTATTATATTTGATTACGATTTACCCTTTCCTACTTTTGATTGTTCTTAAGCTTGCAAAGTATATCGATAACTTTTGAGCCAAACAGACATTGTAGGCAATCTGAGTGACGAAAGAATATTTTTGTAGGCTTGGTAGGCTACGTTCAACACAAGACGTCCAAAAGAATTTTACCCAAAATTAACTTTATAGGCTTGGTGTATGTGTAGTTTAAATCAAAAAAGTTAAGCCGTAAGTGATTTACAATTATATCCTTAAATTATACAAATATTTAAGGTTATAAAAGTCGATCAATATTTTGAGGATATTTTAGTCGTTCAATATTTCGCAAAAATTATTGGTGCTTTTATAATAACTAGTCTCTATTGCTCGTGCGTTGCACGAATATTTCAAGTCAAATATGGCATAATTAATACAAATGACAATAAACTTTAATCGCATATTTGTTCAAGCAATAACATTTGTTAGAGTAATAAAATAACTAATTAATGTATATAATAAATTACTATAGTATATAAACCGATATTTGAATTCAACACGTAATTGGCCATTGCATGTCCCTCCAAAAGATCACAACTGAAATAAGTTATGTATAAAATAAGATAGCATGCAAATCAAAAAATTACAAATAAAAGTACTATCCAAACTTCTACGGCTTTATACTTAACCTCACCGAAAGAGAATAATATAGCATTGGTTTTTATGTTCTTGTTTTTCCCAGTACACTAAGCAATCCAATTTTCATTACAATTAAGAAATCAAGATTCGGATTGTAGTCCACATTTTTCTTTAAACTTTGAACTTATAATTTCAACAAAGATATGAAAAAGCATAAATACTAACTTTAGCAACCAAATAACCATCAAAACACTTGTCGAATCAATAAATTAGGAGTAGTTCATAAGACAAAAACGTATTTGGAGTAAATTTTGAGGCAATATTCAGACGCATGAATCGAATTGTAAGGCCATAATTAGAACAAAGTATAATAACTTACAAATAGCTTCACAGATGAATTTGTGGGTAAGGATAGACATCTGCCTTGTTCTTCATGGATATGAAGTTAATGTAAGAGGCAAAAAGTGATGTCTTTTTGTGTTAGAAGTCTTAACATGTTCAATATGTATTGGGACATAATTTGAACGAACCCAAATTCTTGTATATTCTGTGGTCGAAATTGTAGTTAAAGTCAAACTCAGCTATTAGGCAAAGTCTAGATATTACAAATTTATCCAACGTTGATATATATTTTGAGCGAATAATTAAGTTTTTGAAGGGTATAAAAGTCAACTAATATTTCAGGGATATTTTAGTCGTTCAATATTTAGCGTGCAACATTCGTGCTTTTATAATAATATATATATATATATATATATATATATATATATATATATATATATATATATATATATTTTAGAATGAGTCTCTTGAACAACCCCAAATTTTGACTATACTCCCTTCTGTACGTGAAGAAAAATAAACACAGAAAACTCATTCAAACGTCAATCTTTTGTATATGGAAGGATTGACTATTAGGTTGAAGGAAACCTTGGCGGAACTGGTAAAGTTGATGTCATGTGACCAGAAGGTCACAGGTTTAAGCCGTGGAAACAACCTCTTGCAGAAATGCATGGTAAGACTACGTACAATAGACCCTTGTGGTCCGGCCGTTTTCCGGACCCCGCGCACGGGCTGCCTTTTAAGAATTGACCATTTGGCATTGACAATGAGGAGACGATTGGATGACAATTTGTGAACTACAGATTCTATTGACTCTGTTAAATCCAAAGTGGATACCCTGATTGAGCTCTGGAAATTCGTATTAGAATTTGGATTTCATAATTAAGCCTGATAACTAAGTATGTTTTTTAAGTTTGCTGAAATAATTTTCTGAACTTCACCCTATTCAGAAACGATTTAAACCTGTGAAATTGGACTTCATCTTCTTGCCCAGCTTGCCACCAACCTGAAAGCCTGATTCGCAGGCTTCTAAATAATTCCGAAATAAGCACAGGTATTATTAAAAACATTTAACAAAAGCAGGGTTTATACTGTTTAACACAAACAAACATAAACTGCATTCTTTCAGCAGTATAGGGGACACATATTTTTCTTAGGCCAATTAAAACAAGTCTAAAGGATGGCTTATTGAAAAGGCTAAACAACAACAAAGGAAAATGATAACTAAAGAAACAGAAAGTAATTAACTCGCACTTTAAAGTCCCTCCTCATTGTCCAATGCAAATCCACCACTGGTAAACTCGGCTTCAGCAGATGAATTAATCGCAGGTGGTAGCATCAGTGGCGCTGGAATTCCTTGGATGCTGGTGAAAGAAGCCTACATAAACAACATCAAAAATTCTCAGAAAGTGTTGAATTTTCTTCTTTTTTTTTCAGAGCAGGGTTTATCAAGATAAATAGACCACCAAACTAGCCTAGATAAACAATTCACAACTGTTATTTGGAATGAACATTTACAAGGTAGTGTTGAAAGGCACTATCACTCACCGGAATGTTATTAGGCTGAACCATTTCATAAGCCGGGTGAAATTGATTTCCTTGGCCACCATTTGCCTCCTCTTCCACCTGAAATTGGTACTGTAGCTAGTGCTGTTATAGTACTTTAAACTGTAAGATAATTAGTAAACGTAATTCATGACCGGATTTGAAAACAAAGAAATATCAAAATATGTAATTATCTGGGTGAAGTTGAATATTAACTCCGCAATTTTATCGAAATAATGTTTACATAGTTTGAGGCTACATAAAAGGTACTACTACTTCATAAAATTTGAAATTACGTACAATATTACGATTCAAAATAGATAGATAGAAAAAGCTCGTTTAACCCTCTAAGTAGTAATAATATCTTATTTTATATATAGAGGAAGTATTTGCAGGTAAGTACAAGTACGACTTTATGAAGTTTAATCACCTCATATTTTTTTAGGATAAAAAACAACAACAACAAATTAGCCTAGATAAACAACAATCAACTGTCATTTATGATGAAGATTACGTAGTTTGCACATGTAGTGTTGAAAGTTACTATAACTCACTGGAACATCATTAGGCTGAACCATTTGATAAGCTGCAAGAAATTCATTTCCCTGGCCGTCATTTGCCAACTCTTCCACCTGAAATTGGTTCTGCTGCTGCAGCTAGTGCAATTTTAGTACTTTAAACTGTAAGATAATTAATAAACATTCCAAATTCATGAAAGAATTCAAATACAAGGATCAAAATATGTATTTGTATGTCTGAAGTTGAACATTGGCTCCTAAATTTAATTGAAATAAAATTTACATACTTTGGGACTACCTAAAAGGTACTACCCCATAGAACGTAAATTACAATAGTTTAGGATTCAAAATAGGTGGACAGGATAAGATCGTTTGACTCCCTACATAGTAATAATATCATAAAAATATATAGAGTAGGAACGAAGTACAAGTAGGACTTTATGAAGTTTACTCATCTCATAGTTTTTCAGGATAAACAACACCACACATTACCCAAGATAAATTATATGCTACTGTTATTTGAAATGAAAGTTCACGTATTTTACACATGTAGTGTTGAAAGTCACAATCACTCACCGGAATGTTATTGGGCTGAACCATTTGATAAGCCTGGTGAAATTCATTTCCTTGGACATCAAGTGCCTCCTCTTCCACCTGAAACTGGTACTGTAGCTAGTGCATTTTAGTACTTTAAACTGTAAGATAAACAATAAACATCCAAAATTCATGACGGGATTCAAATACAGGGATCAAATTATGAAACAAAACTTACATATTTTTGAACCGTGTAAAAGGTACTACATTAAATTAGAAATTACAATATTGTTTTTGGATTTAAATTAGGTAGACAGGAAAAGATTGTTTGACCCTCTAACTAGTAATAATATTATATCTCAATATGTAGAGGAAGTATTGCGCAGGAACAAGTACGACTTTATGAAGCTTAATCACCTCATACTTTTTTTAGGATAAACAACACCAACAAATTAGGCTAGATAAACAAGTCGCTGCCATTATTTGGAATGAAGCTGTACAAGGCAGTTTAAGCATGTAATGTTGAAAATCACTATTACTCACCGGAATGTTATTAGGCTGAAGCTGAAGCATTTCATAAGCCGGGTGAAATTCATTTCCTTGGCCATCATTTGCCTCCTTTTCCACCTGAAATTGGTACTGCAGATTTTGGTATATTAAAAAGTAAGATAATTAAAAATGTTCCAAAATTCTTTAGGATCCAATTACGAGGATCAAAATATGTATCTCTGTGAAGCTGAACATGGGCTCAACTTTACCGAAATAAAATTTACATATTTTGAGACAATATAAAAGGTACTACTTTGTAAAGTTTGAATTATGTAAACATTTTAGGATTCAAATGAGGTAGACAGAAAAAGATTGTTTGACCCTCAAAGTAGTAAAAATATTAGGTATAATATATAGAGAAAGTATTTTGCAGTAAGTACAAGTACGACTTTATGAAGTTTAAACTCATACATTATGAGGATAAACAACACCAACATTAGCCTAGATAAACAATATGCTGGTGTTATTTGGAATGAAGGTTACAAGGTAGTTTCACCACATGTAATGTTCAAAGTCACTACTACTCACTGAAAAGTTAATAGGCTGAACCATTTGATAAGCCGGGTGAAATTCATTTCCTTGGCCATAATTTGCCTCTTCCACCTGAAACTGGTATTGTAGCCAGTGATATTTTAGTACTTTAAGTGGAAAGATCATTAATAAGCATTCAAAAACTCGTAATGGGATTCGAAAACGAGGATCAAAGTATTTGATTATCCGTTGAAGTTGAAGTTGACTAGTCAATTTCATCGAAATAAAATTTACATAATTCTGAGACTACGTAAAAAGTCCTCCATAAAATTCAAATAAAATATTTTAGGATTCAAAATATTTGAAAACTTGTAGACAGAAAAATTTGTTTGACTCGCTAAGTAGTAATAATATCAGATAAAATATATAAAGGAAGCATTTTGCAGTAAGTACAACTTTATGAAGTTTAAATATCTCACAGATTTGTAGGTCATTTAGCATGTATTCAAAGGTCTCAAAGTGCTTGAAATAGCCAATGAAATTATTTGCTAAGAACAATTTTCATCTCGGGAAGTGATGATGGATGATATACTAGCATATAAACCAACCTTGTAGGACTGGAGTGGGACGATATCACACAGGAAATCAAGAAGTTCTTCATTCCTTATGGCCCTAGCAATGTCATAACGCTTCAGAGTTCGACGTTTGACTAGCTCAGCTTGCATCCACGCACGAAGTGTGAGTTCAAGAATGAACATCTCAGTTGCTTTTGCAAACAAAACGATAGAATGTGCGCTAACCATCTGAATTTACACATGCCCATTAGAGGTTAAAATTTTTTTTAGTACCCACTCCCCAGTTAGAGATGCAGCAGATCAAGAAAAGTTATTTAAAAAAAAATAAAAAAAAAAAAAAAAAAAGCAGCACTCTCTCAAGCTTTTCAAGCTCCAACTAATAGCAGATTGAAAAAATAAATTAAATTAAAACGACCCTTGCCAATGTGAATGGAAAATCACAACCATGAACATACCTTTACTTGATCGTTTGACTTAATTACGCGCCTGATCCTTGCAAGGGGCAACTCTTGTTTTCTCTTTAGCTCTAAAACAAAATGAAGTGGCTGAGTGAAGGTAAAACCAACAGGGAAAAACAGCAGCGAAGTAAACCCTACGATCTCTAAAAAATAAAAGGATCTTTTACTTGCAATTTGATTTATTGATTTTTATGATTCTAGTGTTGCTTTCAATGACATGACCTGCTTACAACTGTTTCATGAGTGGTGGAAGCAAAAATGTGCAACATATATATATTTGTAAATTTTCATATGGAACATATCTTTTTATGTGATGATTGAGATACTTCTAACAAAATCAACATATGTGAGGGCCGTGGCAGGTCGTAAAACCGGCCCAAAAGCTCAAGAATAACCTTTGATTATGCATGAATGTATCGTATCATTGGTCTCTGTAGGTGACTATGTGTAAGGAGCAAAAAAAACACCTGAAGCTTGAAGAATTTCTTCAACTTGTTGTTTCCAGAAACAGAGGAGCTTTGCTCTTAGCAAATGCAAGAAACAAGGCTCCCTTTTATCTTCATCCTAGATACGCAAGGAAACCAAAGGGATAAATCTCATCTTATATGAATGGTAGCTATATGTATAAAAAAAAAAAAAAAAAAAAAAAAAAAAAAATGTATAAAGCTCAATTGTATTGATTACCTGCTGAGTTTTGTTGTTACTTGGCAAGCAGCTATGGATACCAACCGGCTTTTGCATTTCTGATGATAGAACTGATGAGGGTTTTGGGAATTCCATTGACGAAACGTTCAAATCGATGTCTTCACCAGATTGATAATATTTGGGGAAGAAGGGGCTTTAAATAGCAGAAACACTATGCCGTAGCTCCTTCTCCCACCCCCAGGAGAGCTATTACGCATTAATTTTGAAGTCATCGTTAGGTCCATATTTATTAGGAATATAATCTCAGATATATTCATCATTAATAACGACATAATCCTCCACTCAACCATTAATTGATTTTCTTTACGCAGATGTGTGGAATAATAAGTGCTTATTTGTCGCACTATAGATTTTTTTCCCTGACGAGTATCTTGAAAATGGAGTCCCACCAATCATCAAAATAACTAAATAAATAAATAAAAGAAAAACATGAAGAAAAGAAAAAATTTCATATTGGTTCTTTTCATTGTGGAACCATCTACAGTATGTTTAAGCAAAGGACTTCTGACGTTGGTCGTAAAAGGAAATGAAAGGTAGGATAGGCGACTTATAAGCTGTTGTTTGAAGAGAGAACTGTTGTCATGGCACCAAGATGTGATTAATCATAGTCCGTCTAAAATGTCTGCAAACATGGTTACTCTCCCACCAGCGCTTCAGTCTCTTGTTACTCACTATTCTTTTTCATCTTTACATGGCAACAAAAGTTTTCTTCATCTGGGGGGAGAATAATTCACAGACAACAAATTTCACATGAAAGTTATATGCACATCCACCAACCGATGGAACCATAAGATTACTCCCCAAATAGTTAAGCAATAGAAAAAGTCTAATAAATTTTGCCTTGGGAGTTAGCATTTACTGGAGCATTATTTATGCAATAATATAGGTAGGGGAAATGATTTTTGCCTGTTACACCAACGGAAGCCAAGGATAGCAGGAAGATTTTGCTCCATGTGTGTTTACATATAGCCCAATAAAAAAGAGGCGAAAAAGAGAGAGAAAGGGACAATGACTTGATCGTCTTTGTTTATCCAGTTATCTGATCTGCTTAGCTTGAGAGTTAAAGCACATTGTCTCTTTGGATGTTCACGATTAGGTTTAGCTTGATTTTTACGCAAAAAGAAACCAATCAATTAAGTGTGTTTTCTAAATATTTACTAGATGACTGTAGCCAGTGCCGAGAATGTCATATGCCCGACATTATGTATTTCTTTTCTATTTTACTTCATTTTCTTTGTTTTACATACAAAAAAAACAATGTAGCTCACAACAACTCAATACACAAATTGCTGAGACGGGCATAATGCACACATAGCAATGCCACCATGAAGTTCATACACATTTGAGAGACCAAAAAATTTGTCATTACTAAAATGCAGTTTATGTTTCTAATATAAACCTATCAAGGCATCGAAGCTTGACATCATTATGATTTGAACTTTAACACCATAACTATCTTCCCACTTCAACGAAGTACAGATTCTAACACTATTTTGCAGTCAGAAAGCAATTAAAAACATTCAAATAACAAATAAGAAAGAACAAACAAAGTACAAGAAAATGGTAATATCACTGCCCTGCCTCAACACCACTGCCAACTGATGTTGGTTCAAACAACGAAGAATAAATCACTTAACTAATCTACTTTAACAAGCTTGACAAACATGTTCACTCACTCACTGAAATATTTTGATATCTAAAGAAAGTCCATCAAAAATCACAATGACAATTCTATGAACTTTTAAACAATGATAGGCATAGCAAAGTAAAGAACATCGAACACAGATTTGGGCATACCAAGTTGTTCTTAAGCATCTTCAAAAGGAGTTATTGAAGGATTGTGCGATTCTCTACAGTGATAATGTTACTTAAAAACCAAATGACAATCAAACAAACTTTTAAAACTATGTTAGCAAGGAAATGAAATAGATAACTCAAATTTGTACCTGTCCAAGTTGTTCTTGAGCATCTTCAACAAGGATTGTGGAAGGATAGTGTAATTCCCTAATGTGATAACGTCATTTTCCTTCGCTGAGTAGCTAGTTAGACCAGCAAGCACTTGTCTCATGCATCAATTGGTCACACATAATGTTAACAAGAAAAATATCAAGATAAAAAAAACTAAGATGACAAAAGCAACTAAGTTACACTAATCAAAGAACACCAACTCTCTTGATAGCAATACATGAGACAGAACCACCGTTACTGGAGTTCAAAGTAGTTTGATTTTTCAGATATCTAGAAAATGGTTATCAGGTGGGTCATGGGGCATTATCTACTCATCTCAAAGACAAAGGAACTTGTTCCTTTCTTTAAGGATTTAAAAGATTAATAGTCACGCTTCAGGGTAATTACTAAGTCAAATCTATCAAATGGGACCTGGATGCTGAACCTAAAGTTGAAATGCAGCAAATGGGAAAATGGGATTTTCCTCTTCAACCCCATAAAAATTCAAGAACTTGTAATAAATATATGGCATACACTCCAATACATGCTAATAGCACTTCGTTACGAACCTAACCAGCAAAATCAGCACCTAACATTAATCAGGTTATGAAATTGAGAGAAAGCTTGATGAAGGAAATTCCTTATGGGAAGAAACAACAGCATACAAATGAGATATCTCAATTGAATATGGGATTATCCAGGAAAGAATTTGCTCTTTTGGTGATTTTACAAGCCTTAGCCTTCTTTACAATGTGTGCAAGTCTTCTTCATAAGTGGAGAAGGGTATGGATGTGAATTAGAGATTATAACTTTCTGCTCTTAAGATAGTAATATTAGACATTGTGATTTGCCTACCTAAAAGAACAAATACATACAAATTTCTGCACGTTTCACATTTCTTCTTCAGAACATTGTATTTAGCTTCAAAATATACAATTTACAGTAAAAGCTTTACCAAAGGTCAGAGATACTCCCAACTTCGATTCTTATGTTCTTATTTGGTGCTACTACTTTTCCTATTAACAAGAAAAAAAATACAAAAGAAGAAGCAAAACCTACCTGAGAACATTGTGAAAGAAGTTGTCCACATGCCGCCGCCTGACGTTAAAATGCCAGCTGCCATCTCCTCCCTTGATCGATGCCAACCATTTGACTTCGCCTTCTCCAAGTCAATCATAGAATCGCCTAGTGAGTAGTAACCCATCACATAAAAGTTCAAGAAAGCACCAGCTTATTTGGTGATTTCAAACACTGGCTTTCCACTTAAACCTCGGATGAATTCAAGACATTGACACCATTCAGATCACCTGGGGTGTGGCATAAAAAATCAAACTTTTCCTTTATAGGGTCAAGCATCTTTTCCTTTATTGAAATTGCTATTTTGCCATTTCTATTTTCGTATATTGATTCTGTAGTTACCATCCACTGCTCCTTTTTTTTTTTTTTCTTTTCCACATTGACTGCTCTATTATGTAACCGATTTAATTAAAAGATAACCGACGATGTTTTATGTCAATGCATTGTTATTTGGTACGCTGTCGTTTTGTTTAGAGGGAGTACTAGTTATGCGAGTTATAATATGTGGATTTGTGTTTTTCTTAAAACCATAATAAGTGGATTGTTTATGCAGTGAAAATAAATTATTTGTTTAGTGGTGAATGGTAATACATATGTGTAAAAGCACTAGGGGTGTCAAATGGGCGGGTTGGGTCAATTTTGGACGGGTCAAAATGGGTTGAGTCAATAATTGGGCGGGTCAAATGACCCGCCCAAAAGTTACTTGGGCTAAGATGGGTTGGGTCAAGATGGGTTAAAATTCGGGTCATAACCCAACCCGCCCAACTCTTATTAAACTTTAATTAATATGTGTTATTTTCTTATAAATTGTATAATTACTAAATAAGGTTTTTTTGCTTTTGTTATGGTCATATTTAAAATATTAAACAAAAAATAAAATTATTTCTAAGATATTTTGACAAACTTACTCATGGATCAATTTGGGCTAAAAATTAGCCCAACTTTAAATGGGTTGGGATGGGTTGGGTCAAGATGGGCTAAGTTCAATAAATGGGCGGGTCAATAACCAACCCAACCTTGGGCGGGTTGGGCGGGTCATTTGGGCTTGGGCCAAATTTGACAGCCCTAAAAAGCACATAAGGAACAGAAAAACAGAGCTCGAGCTCCATTGGTAGTACCCTAGAAGGTTCTCGAAGGGAGAGAACGAGAGAGTGTGTTGTATGAGAAATGAACTAACTGTATTAGCTTTTCAAGTGAGTATGTATACATATCAGTATATCACACATGTGAGTTACTATGGCTAATGCTAACTCAATGACTAATGCTAACACTACTAAGTAGCAACTAACAACTAAGTTGAATTACATATACACATAATTAATACACTATCTCAATACCCTCCCCTTAACTACCCCCCCCCCCCCCCCCAAGTTGGAGATGAGGTTGTCACTGCCAACTTGCTCATAATTGTTGCATGCTTGACTCCAGTAAGTGCCTTAATTAATACATAAGCTAACTGGCTATCAGTCCTAACATGATGAAGAGACACCAAATCTTCCTACAATTTATCCCTTGCAAAGTGACAGTCCACTTCAATATGTTGAGCAGGCTAACTGTCACAAAAGACTGTGACAGGTTTAGGAAATGGGACAGTGAGCTCATCAAACAGCCTACATAACTAGACAAGCTCACCAACTATATTTCTCAAGGCTCTATATTCTACTTACGGTGGCTTACTTCTTGGACTTCCAACTAATTGGATTGTTACCAAGGAGCACCAAATACCCACTAATAGATTTCCCAAAGTCTGGAGAAGCAGCCCAATCGGAGCCACAATACCCTCTAACCGTGCAATCGGGACTTGCAGACATAAAGATCCCAAGAGTAGGATCAACTTTTAAGTATCTAAGCAAGTGGTAGGCAGCCTTCAAATGAGATTCCCTGGGATCTTGCGTAAATTGACTAAGGTGCTGCAATGTCCAGCCTTGTATTTGTGAGGAAGCTCAACTTTCCTACAGTTCTGTAGAGAGAGGGATCCGCTAAGGGTACACCTTCCTTGGCTTTGAGCTTGACAGTAGGATCTAGTGGTGAGCTAAAGGTACTTCCATGAAGGCACTCATACTCCTTTAGTAGGTCAAGGGCAATTTTTCTTTGAGAGATTACCACACCATCTTCCTTGTAGACAACCTCTAAGCCTAGAAAGTAATGTAGTCTTCCAGGTCCTTGATTTTGAATTGATCGTGCAGGAAGTTATTCAAAGAGGTGATCTCCTCTGAATATTCCGAAGATAATTACTTCATATACATATACAACAACATATATGATAGAAGAGTCAGATTTCTTGTGAAACAGAGAATAATCATTAAGGGAGTGAGCATATCCCTTGGAACACAAAGCCTCAACTAATTTGGCATACCACTGTTGGCTGGCTTGTTTCAATTCATACAATGATTTATTCAATTTGCACACTAGCCCAGGTGCACTAACTAGTAGCCCAGGAAGCAAGTTCATATATACTTCATCATGCAAATCCCCATGAAGGAAGGCATTGATAAAATCAAGTTGGAAGACACCCTAATGCTTCTTCACTGCAGTTACTATGAGTGCCCTAATGGTTGTTATTTTAACAACTGGTGAAAAAGACTCAGTGTAATCAACATCAGCCTGCTATGTATACTGATCCGCGTCCAATCCGCACTCAATAGTGAGTGAAAACGGTCGTTGGAAGAATAGTACCCAACAAGAGTCGGGGTTGATTTCCATAGGGAGTTTAATATGGGTGTTATGAGTATACACTTGACGAAAGAAAATGGAACAACTAGATTGCACTTCCAAACTTTGATTTCTAATTCTAATTTTACTCTAACAATATCAAGCTAAGAGAATAAACTAGAAAGTGAATGATTGTTTTCGGTGTTTTTCCAAATAGTTAAAAAGCCTAGGGATGTAACCTTAACCTAGGTGTCGCCTAATGGGTTAAATATATTAATACTTGTTTTATTGATCGGAGTGTATTATATCTCTCAACTCTGAATTACCCACACAATGCCTCTTGGTCATAGAGTGATTTTTCCCAATTTAGCTTTCTCAAGTCCAAATGGGTATCAAGCTAAATTGTTGATATGAGCTCAAGTGGGGTTCTCACTATCTCTAGTTCAAACCCTTTAATTAGGCTGATCAAACTCTTAATTAACTCAATTTTTTGTTAGCCAAGTTATCCTAGACTAGGTGTCTCTTTCTCAAGTAAAGACCTAGTCAAAAAGACATGAATCAATATTTGCAACGATTGATTCTAAAATTGAAGCATAAACTAAGATAAATACTCAACACTCAATCATAAAAAAGCATTAAACTAAATACCGATAAGGTTTACACACTAGGGTTGGGTCACAACCCTAGTAAGAATATAGCTACTCATAGTGAGAAATAAAGAAAGCAAAGAAGAACTACTAATTAAACTCATAATCTAAGAATAAAATGATAAAATATGATGTATTAATCCTAAAATAGTCATAAACTTCCTAAGATAGCAAAATACAACGGCTCCATCAGCTTAAACTTCGAAACATGACCTAAAAATATGATTCTCGTCTATTTATAGTGGCCCAAAATTTGCTGACAAAAATGCCCATTGGGAGGTTCTGCGGCCGCACAAATCCATGTGCGTTCCGCAGATTGCTTCAGCTTGCAGGGTCTTGGATTCTGCAGCCGCACAATATGGTCTACGGCTGCAAGTCAGCTTCTGTGGCTGCACAATGCTTGTGCGGACCGCACTTCAGGCAAGGCTTCAAGTCTTGGTACTCTCTGAACATTTGAGTTTCTTTCAGTGCACGCCTTGTTCTGCGACCGCACAAATCATGTGCGATCCACACATTAGCTAAAGCTCTGCTGGGCTTCTTCACTTGTTCTGCAGCCGCAGAGGGAATTCTACGGTCCGCAGTTTCTTCTGCGGCTGCAAAAATCCTTTTGCAGACCGCACATCTTATGTTTTGCGCACCTTCTTGCCTTGTGAGTCGGAACACTTCTTTTTTAGTCGAATTTCATCATGGGAGCCTGAACTTCCAACATTCCTGCAATTTGCACACTTTCATTAGTTTTAGGAACATAAATCAATACTTTCGGACTAAAACAAAAGCAAAAATGTGCTAATAAGTGGTCAAAATTCACACTTATCAACTCCCCTAAACTTAAGTCTTTGCTTGTCCTCAAGCAAATAAATTAGTTCCCACCTCCTCAGAGTTAAAGGTCATTTCAGCGAGTCAATGGTGAGCCATTCATATGTTAGTTGGGACCAACAATTACCCACGCTAGTCATGCATTATCAACAAGGTGACAAGTCAAATTCATGCACATATAGTTCTAATGTGACATTTGAGCTTCAAGAATTGACTTTACTAATCAAGGACTCTTGTTCTATCATGTAGGTCATGGTGGACTCCAAACTCTTCCTCCTCTACTTTCCATTTTCCAAACTCACTTAAAAAGTTAGCACTCAATCTTAAGATTCATGAAAGGTTCACTCATCTCTCACAAGAGAATTTCAGAAGTGCGGCTTTAAGTACCATAGGCTTGCCCCTCATGTAGATCACCACTAATGTAAGCTCACTCGGTTTGAAATCAAGTAGGACTCCTTTCGGGTTGTAATGAAGGTTTTTGGATTAGGGTAGGATACCATATGGGTAAGTGGTTACGCCTTTCCTTAAGCACTCCACATTTTCATTTCTCGTCTCATAATTATCAATTCTTAGAGGCATTTTATTTTCATCGAGGGCTAGAGAGACTTGACATCACTCCTATTTGTTCACTTCATTTTTTTCTCCCATTTTGATTGCTCATGCTAGGGATCATTACCTTTTTTGAATGCATCAATCCTTCCACTTATTCACTTTTTTTTTTTGCATTTTTCTTTTTGTTAATTTCTTTTCTTGCCTTCTCTTTTCATAGAGATCATTTCTTTTCTCTTTTTTTGCCTTGATACTTTTTTTTTTAAATTCCTCATCTCTCCCCCAGACTTATGCCTAAGCCACTTATTTTACAAGAGTGTTAAGGAAAGTTCGGGTGCCAAGAGATGGTCACGATAAAACGGGTAAAGGCTTCTAACATGGTTATCAAATGATAAAGGCTAGAGGCTCAAAGGGGGTTGACAAGCGATAACGACATTGGTTGGAAATAGAAAGCTCAAACGGGCCAAGGAGATCCTACAATCACCTCTAAAACCATGCAAAACTTAGGATTTGGCCTTGAAACACATTCGGGGCAAATTCTAGATCATTCGCACGGATACTTGGACTAGCAACAATTTATCTCACCCCCACGTAACTAGATTGTAAAAGAGGATAGAGTCGAGAGCCTACAATGACCACATTCAAGTTTAAATATCACTATGGTCCGATAAACCACTCGATGGTCACCAAAGTCAACTCAAGAGTCACAAAGTCACTAACTAGAGCTATTTCTT